GGTATTATATTAGTATTAGCATACCTTTAGTTTTCATGGTGTCTAAACTAAACAATAATTCAAAATTGCACAATACAGTATTTTTTGTTAGTTAATATTACTATGTGAAATTTAATTTGATATGATTTAGTAATATGACTTACGTTTTATTTGCTTTGTAGGGCTTGAGAATTATGATTCTGGGATAGGCATTTATGCCGCAGATGCTGAGGCCTATTCTGTGTTTGCTGATTTATTTGATCCAATCATTGAAGAGTACCATTCAGGTTTCACAAAAACTGACAAGCATCCTGCCAAAAACTGGGGTGATGTGAACTCCTTAGGCAACCTTGATCCTACTGGAGACTACATTGTTTCTACACGAGTAAGATGTGGTCGTTCAATGGAAGGTTATCCATTCAACCCTTGTCTGACAGAAGCCCAATATAAAACTATGGAGGAAAAAGTATCCAGCACCCTTTCTGGGTTGGAAGGAGAATTGAAAGGAAAATTCCACCCATTGACCGGTATGCCGAAGGATGTTCAGCAACAGCTCATTGATGATCACTTCTTGTTCAAGGAGGGTGATCGTTTTTTACAATCTGCTAATGCTTGCCGCTTTTGGCCAACTGGACGTGGTATCTATCACAATGACGACAAAACTTTCCTTGTGTGGTGCAATGAGGAAGATCACTTGAGAATCATCTCTATGCAAATGGGTGGAGACTTAGGCTGTGTATATCGACGTTTAGTAAATGCTGTGAATGAAATAGAGAAACAAATACCGTTCTCTCATGATAGCAGATTAGGTTTCTTGACATTTTGCCCAACAAATTTGGGAACTACAGTACGTGCTTCTGTGCACATCAAAGTCCCCAAACTAGCTGCAAACTATTCTAAATTGAAAGAAGTTGCAGAGCACTACAACCTTCAAGTTCGAGGAACACGTGGCGAGCATACAGAGGCAGAGGGAGGGGTCTATGATATCTCCAATAAGAGACGTATGGGGCTAACTGAATATGAAGCCGTCAAAGAAATGCATGATGGAGTTGCAGAGTTGATAAGAATTGAAAAAGAAATGTGAGTTACTGTAGTTCTAAACTGTAATCTTTGGTTAGGTATTAAATTTGTACTGAATTCACTGCAAATAAATATATTTTGAAATTGAAATGAAATGAAATCTTCACTTTCTACATTTAAAAAATTTTATTAGAATTTAAAGGAAAATTTAAAAACAAAATCGAAAAAAAAAACATGACAAATTTCCTAGTGTGTATAAAAGAAAACATTAGTAAAATAAATAAGGTATATAATAAAAATATAAATCTATATATTTTCATATTCCATGAAACTAAAGTTGAAATGAACACTTGCTATTAAATGTGCATTTATTTGCACCTCTACTGTACTTTGCTATAGACGTTTGTTTTCAGGGGTAGATGCATAAATTTAATAATTCATAAATACATGTGTTTAACAAATGTAAATTTCATTTTCAGACTGGTTCTTGGTATCAGAATTATAATTAATCTTATGTAATTAATCGGTATTTATATACAAGGATTAAAAATTAGTATGTAATGGGAGATACGTATAAAAGTGTTTTACCTACAGTTTTACATAATAAAAGTAACATTTAATGCAATAATGTTATTAAATTATTGTTCATAATTATTATTTTAATTATTTTCCTACAGACTCGTTATATATTAAGCTTAACCATTCGAAAAAGAACGGTTACACGATAAATTTTGTGATCGGTGTTAGTTGGCCTGTCCTATGAATTTAAGGGTTGTCAAAAGGGCGAAGTGAAATATAAGGATTACATATCGATATCGTAGCTGTTTGCATCGATAGAAATGACAGCGTTTTCTGACGATAATGCGGCGTGTTTTATAGCCTCTTTAATATATTAGGTTATAAAACCGTTATGAAAGATGTCATTCTGGCATTAGTGCTATTATAATTACATACAAAAAATAGAAATTTTGAAGATCTTGAAACTTGCGTGATCATGTTTCGATGACGATAAATTAAATTCATATTTGGTGTTCTATTGTGAAATTAAAATTAGTATAAAGCTTCGTGAACAAGATAGTTGATCATACAAACAATTCATTATGAGTCCTACACAGAAACCTAAAGTATTGCATTTGCCATTAGCGCGAGTAAAAACTATTATGAAAGTTCTCCAGAAGCAGAAGCCGTTTCGTTTGATGCTTCCATTTCGTAGCAAATCTGCGGTGAGTTTACATTCAAATTCTATCAAGTTATTTCTAATATTTTAACAATTGAACTATTATTACATATGAGTTTTGATATATGTGGACACTACAGAGAACAAAAAACTGAATATTGTATTTTAATTTATACTTTTATGAAGTTACTTCAAGAGGATTATCAGTTATTGATATTGTGCTTATTCTTAAAAATCATACCTGAGAATAGCTATCATAACTAGGTAATAAAATTAATAACAAGGTTTTGATTAATTTGAATTATTGCAGGAGCTTTTTGTCGCTTACCTTGCTAAACAAGCTTATAGTAAAGGTAAAAAGATTTGATTATAAAGATGTTACCAATGTTGTTCATAACAAAGACACATAGACTTTATGGGAATTAATGCCAAAAAAAATACGGTGAGACAATACAAAGAACTAATGTCAAAAAGAAAGTGGAAAAGATCCCATTTCCAGTTGGAATCAGAAGAATCTGATAGTGAGGAATGATAGTAATTAATAACTAATTATACAGGTTGTAATTATATATTACAATATATATTTTTTACAATCATTATACATTTCATCAAACAAATCATCCATTTCAATGTTTCTTGGCGGTTCTACAGACTGTTTCCGAAACCTTCAGGAACATATCAGCTTCTTGTTGCGATATTTGCTTAATGGGTTTTCAATCAATAGTAATCAAGCCCAAATTTTCTTTCACCAGATTACTCCAGAATAAGTCTTTCCTATTTTTTAACACAACATCTTTAAGCTCCTTCAGCCAGTCATT